TGTGGTGGCGCACGTCTTTAATCCCAGCACTCTGGAGGCAGAGGCAGGCGGATCTCTGTGAGTTCCAGGCCAGCCTGGTCTACAAGAGCTAGTTCCAGGACAGGCTCCAAAGCCACAGAGAAGCCCTTTCTCGAAAGTGGGGGGTGGGGGGGTAGCTTCCTGGATAGCCCATGTGTTACTGGTTTCTACTGAGATGATCAGTTGGATCTACAAGTCACATAGACTAGCAAATGACTAGCTACAATCTGGCAGTTTTCTGACAGCTGTTTTCCCTCAGGGTCTAGTATCGTGTTCCCTGTTTCCATCTGAGCCCTCAGAAGGTCCTCAGTGCTCATATTTCTATACCAGTGTTGTTCCCCGTGGTGTTTTCCATGGTGTGTGCATTCTCTAGGATGACAGCAGCCCTTGTTCCCAAACCATCACCAGCATCATCCTTACCTTTAGTATTGTACCAGTTGTCTCCAACAAATCTAGGCTCCAGCGTCCATGCACTTCCTGTTGTGCAATCCCAAAGCCACTTCAGTATTCCAGCTATTTATTTATGTAATAGTATTCCTCCCTAAAAGCAGAATTTATTTTTTCCTAGAACTAGCTCTGTACAACAGGCTAGCCTCAAACTCAGGCTAGCTTCTGCCTCCCAAGTGCTGGGATTAAAAGCATACACCACCACCACTTGGCAGAATATTCATTTTTTATGACTACTATAACAGAGTGTTAGGGACTGGGTAGTTTTAAACAACAGAAGTATGTTGTTTTAGTTCTGGAAAGTAGAAGTCCAGTGTGAGGGTGTTGGCAACACTGCTCCTTCTGACGCCTATAAGAAAGCATTCCTTGCTTTCCCAACTTTTTGTATATACTCTATGCCTCATCTCTACTACCTTCTGTGCCTGTGTTTTAGCCTTGTCCTTCTCTCTTTTGATTTTTGTTTTGGTTTTTGAGACAGAGTTTCTCTGTAGCTTTGGAGTTTATCATGGAACTCCCTCTGTAGACTTCAAACTGGCTGGCCTCAAACTCACAGAGATCCGCCTGTCTCTGCTTCCCGAGTGCTGGGATTAAAGGCGTGCGCTGCCACCACCACCTGACTTAGTATTCCCTCTTAACTAATTACATCTGTATCAACTTTGCAAATAGCTCACATTCCGAGGTACTGAAGGATCAGACATGAGAGGGACACAATTTACCAGCAGTACCCATTGTTATATTGTGGTTGCTCAGGAGCTGGGCACTGGAACCAGGTCTCCCACACTTGCTACTGCCTGCCAGGGATGGCATTGGTACAGGCCATTGGTGCAGGAGCCATTCCTTGCCAGATAGCATGCCATAGGAGCCTGTGCCTTGTTCATCTGGACCTGGCTGGAACCCACTGGATTATTCTTACTGATTCCTGCCCAGGCTATGCGGACCCTCAGTTGGAAGCACACCCTGGGCTTGGTGACAATGGATGTGGAGCTGGCTGACCGTACCCTGTCTGTTGCAGTGACCCCAGTGCAGGCAGTGATCTTGCTGTATTTCCAGGACCAAGGTGAGTCCCTAGAACCCCATCTGGTCTGCCTGAGCACACTACCTTGGAGCCACTAGGCACTTGTCTAATGAGCAGTGAGGTGATACATTGTCCCTGTGTCCCATCATCGTCCCCCATCCTCCCCCTCCCAGGAGGGCAGGATTTAGGGGTAGCAACCATTCCTTTTACCCATGAGTCAAGCTGGACAATTCTCATCCCTCTGGGATAACTGGTTAACTGGAGAAGTAAAGCTCCAGTGTACCCTGCTTTCCTGTGATTCTGCACACAGCCAGCTGGACCCTGGAGGAGCTGAGCAAGGTGGTAAAGATGCCTGTGGCACTGCTGCGGAGGCGCATGTCAGTGTGGCTGCAGCAGGGTGTGCTGCGGGAGGAGCCTCCAGGCACTTTCTCTGTTATTGAGGAGGAGCGGCCTCAGGACAGGGACAACATGGTGCTGATTGACAGCGATGATGAGAGCGACTCCGGCATGGCGTCCCAGGCTGACCAGAAGGAAGAGGAATTGCTGGTGCGTTGGCCACTTTCATAGTGGGCTGGGGTTGGGCCAAGAAGGTGACTGTCTAACCATCCCTGGCTTCTGTTCCTAGCTCTTCTGGACGTACATCCAGGCCATGTTGACCAACCTAGAGAGCCTCTCTCTGGAGCGCATCTATAGCATGCTCCGAATGTTTGTCATGACTGGCCCTGCTCTGGCTGAGATTGACCTGCAGGAACTCCAGGGCTACCTGCAGAAGAAGGTCCGCGACCAGCAGCTCATCTACTCTGCAGGTGTCTACCGCCTGCCTAAGAGTTGCAACTGATGTCCCTCTTCTGAGCTCTGACCCATAGCATTCATGCCTGTGTGGCCACTGGATAGACAGTTAGGGTACCTCCTTACCCCCCATGTGTCTGTGCCTAGCCCCCATCCGTTCCCTGCCTAACACCCAAAGTACAAATTAAAATTAAAGTAGATTGGTTCATCTTTTCGTGTAGTTTTTTGAACACATATACATACCAGCTTGTCCTCCATAACCATCCTACATTAGCTCTATAGGGCCCGTGTTCCTAGCAGCAGGTAAGGCAATAGATTCCCTGAAGCTGCCTTCTATAGGCTGCCCAGGACCCACGCTTGTTTGGGTAAAAGTAAATAGGGTTAGCTCCCCAGACTCTCCTGAGTTAGACGTATAGCCCCATCCTGCTTTTGTGGTCTTTAAAGGAATCATGGATCTTCACTTGTGTGTAGCCTATGTGGAGTTAATGCCAGGCTTTGTGTTGTTAGGACATTTGCACCCACCAGGTCTTCCAAAGTGAGGCAACCTGAGTCAGATATACTCCTTGTGTCCAGCAGACAGTAGCCACTTAAGGACATAATCTAGTGGCCAGAGGATTAGATCTTTGTCCCCCTTTCTTGCACCAGATATTACATATTACATGTATGTATTCAGATTCTTTGATGTCCTCAAGATTTGCAGTCAGAATTTATGGACAAGGGCAGAGGTGAGAGGAGAGCCAGGAACCAATTTAATCCTTTCCCTCAAGTTAGGGCTCAGCCACCCTGAAAAGCAAGCTGTGTCCCAGATGCTAGTTGAGGACAGGCTAGGACCTGGTGGGGCACAGTGTGGACTCCTGCGTCCCTGTCCCAGAACAGCTGTTTGCCGGCAGGAAATACCTGGACCTGAGGCACCATCCTCAAAGGGAACAAAAGCTCTTTGGAATCATTGCTTGCACATCCTGATCCTTGCCCAAGGTGGATCCCAGGCCACAAGCCACACCCAGTCTCAGCTGCTGCCATTACCCCTAGATGCCCTTCTTCGTCCCTCATCCTCAGCTACTGGCTTTGGCTTATTCTGTACTTGGGTCCTGAGCAGAAATCCCCTTCAAGGGTTTCACCTCACCCGGCTGTTCTAGAGGAATCTTCTTGCCTCAGGTTTTAAAGGACTGAAGGCAGGTGTTAGGCACAGGACCTTGGCCATAGCCTGAGGGTTCCCATAAATGTAGGAAGCCTTGTTCACGGTATTTCAGAGATGAGGTTTTTCTCCTCTAGTCCCAGTTCTCAGACCCTGCCCTACCCCACTTAAGTGCTATTGCTACAAGAATAACTGTCAGGTGGTGGGCAGTGGTGGCACATGCCTTTAATCCCAGGCAGAGGCAGGTGGATCTCTGTGAGTTCAAGGCCAGCCTAGTCTACAAGAGCTAGTTCCAAGACAAGCTCCAAAGCTACAGAGAAACCCTGCCTCCAAAAACAAAAGAACACAACCTTTTAGAGGCCATGAAGGTGTTCCTATCTGGTTCATACCACCTGGCCACAGATGGGTGTGTCTTTGTCCTAACAGGATCTAAACTTGCTAGGCTGGCCTGGTAGGGTGACAGTGCCAGCCCCTGGGCCTCAGGCACACCTTCTGCCCTGCATTCCTTTAGACTAAGTTTGTGGACGTATCTTAAAGACCAGAGAGGTCTTGGTTCTCGTTGTTTAACCAATACAAAGTTCATGTCAAGAGTTGTTTCTCGACCAACCCTGTAAGGGTACCTGTGTCTGCTGTCAGGGATGTCCCCAGTGATGAGGGCCAGTGGGTTCAAGCTGTGCCCTCCCATCCTGGCACCGTGTTGGCTCCAGCTGGCAGGAGGCTGGGCTCAGCTGCAGGGCTGACATTTCCTCTTAGTTTGCTTGGCAGATCCTCATAGAGGAGAGTGGCAGCCGGGTGGGGCTGCGCCTGCATCTCAGCCTGGGACAACAAGTTCAGGACAGAACTGTAGGTTAACCCTGACCATGCCAGCCTGTAGGCAAACTAGTTCCCTTGGGCAGCAGCTGATTACAGAGTCAACAGACCCTCAGAGCATCGAGCTCCGACTAATAAGAGGTGTGAGCCAGAGACTGCAACCCTTTCTGAGCCATCTGCTGCCTGGGGGTGTTATTCTAAGGCTATGGTACGGTGTCCAGCTCAGGCATATGTAGCCAATGACTCTCCCATCCCAATGGATGATCAAGGATTCCTTAGGATACCAGCAGTCTCTTAACCCGGACTAAAGGCTATATGAGCTCAGTCCTCCAAAGCAACCAAGGAGGGCAGCTGAACACATACTCACCCCACCTCCCATAGTCTCCCTGTCCCCTACCTGCCTCAACTTGGGGAGGGTTTTGTTAACGGGAAGTCTGGTAGAGCTCTAACTCTACTCAGAGGTCAGATGTGGACAAGCAAACTAAGGTCTTGGTCCCCAACACCAGAGGACAAAGTAAGATTCTCACCCGTTTATCTAGAGCTGCTGTCTGTAAAACTATAGCCCTACTATCCCCTGTCGCAGATCTGACTAGAGCTCGCAAACCCTGTCCCCTTTACCTGCTCCATCCAGGGCTGTCCGCCCAGGGCTCCTAGAATTCCAGCATCCAAGTGGCCTGGGTTCTCTGAGTCCCTACCCCCACACCCTCTGCCTCACAGCCCCACTGTGAGGTCAGCATCTTCCAATAAGTTCCGTCTAGAGGTGTGTGGTGGGGCTGGGGGCTGAACATGGCCCCCTGTCCCCAGCCTGACTCCTGCTCAGCTGGCAGCCCCCTTGGTCTGATATGTTTGTCCCTTTTGCTCATCCCTGCTGCAGGTGCCTCCTCTCACTAGCCCCCCAGCCAGAGTCTCACCCTTTTCCAAGCAGGGCAAGCCACTTGTGTCCTGAGAGCCACTGGGGTGGAGGGTGAGGGACGACCTGAGGTCGTCCACAGTCAGGTGACTGGCTCCTGGTCTTGTGGCCTTGTTTCTGCAGCTGGAACCTACTGTGAATGCAGCCTTGGCCTCAGCCGTGAGGCCTTTATTGCCCTCATTGTGGTACTGGCTGGTGTCAGTGCCAGCTGCTTCTGTGCACTCGTTGTTGTGGCGATTGGTGTCTTTCGGGCCAAGGGGTGCGTGAGCTTGGGGTTGGGTGCAACAGGAGTGGGGCCATGCTACTGGCCCTGGGCTGTCAGCCATGCCTTGAGGGGCCTCTTCTTGGGGTGGTGTGTCATGAGAGGCTGGGGGTAATATTTTCCAGGGTGTGTGTGGGGCATGGGGGTTCCAGGAAGAGGTTACAGGGGGCTTCCAGGCATGTGGGAAGAGCATTTCTCCAGAATTCACACCTGCCTTTGTCCCCCTCAGTGATTCGTGCCCCGGACACACGGAAAACAGGTAAGCGCACCAGGAAAAGCCTCAAGGGTGAGCTGTGTCCTCTCTCTGCCCGCTCCTGGAAGTAGAGATCACAGTGGTATCCAGAGAATGTCCTCAAGGGCCAGCTTCTCTTGGGTGGCCAAGGCCCTGCCAGATCATGCTGACCCAGCCCATCATGCAGGTTGATAGGGCCCTTTGGGGTCCGGACAGATCGCATGGACCTGCGCTCGGTGCACATGGAGTCCTGCCTCATGGACCGTGACCTGGAGGTATCCATGATGCCAACCTTGGACAACCAGGGCCTCATGACCATTCCCATGGAGGTTCCTCTAGAGGAGCCTCCTCCACCACCTTCACCTCCACCTCCTCCACAGTAGCGGAGGGCAGCTAGGCTGGGGAATTAAACAGTATTTAGTGATTGTGTGCTGTCCTTCTTGCAAGTCCCTCGAGGTGGTGTTTGTCATAGATCACGGAAGGTGTCTCCACCCAGGGGCAGAGCCAGGGTTTTCAGCTCCTAGCCCAGCTAGCCAGTTCAGCTTTTCTCAGCTGAACCTTCCTACTGTTGGCCTTACAAAGATGACTGACCCTGGGCCTTTCCTACTTCCCAGATTTCCCAAGACAGGACCTGTAGCTAGCAAGTCCAAAGGGAGCTGCATTGCCCAGACTTGAGCCAGCACTCCTTTCTGCTAACATTGCCCTCAAGGGCTCCAAGGGGGTGAGGGTTGGGTACACTCCCTCTTTTGCCTTAGGTTTGCCATCCCTCCTACACTTTTAAGACTTTCCTTTGCATTTATACCTCCACCAATCCTGTCAAGGGACTGGACAGACTCTATAGGGTCTTTTTGCTGAAACGGGATGAAATTGAGACTGGGGTATGGAGCAAGGCATTGTGGGTCGCATCCTATGTGGAGCTGGTGGGTTTGACCCTGCTCTTTAGGTCTCAGTGGGGCGTCCAGTGGTCTCATCAGCTCCACTATGGGCTCAGAGCCAAGCCAAGACGAGCCTTGGACAGGTGGTTGGCAGTATTGGGCTTTGGCTCTGTGCCTAGCCCCCGCCCAAGACAAGGAACCAGTTGAGGGACAGAAACTGTTGTGCTTGGGCAGGAGAGTTAATACTTCTGTAGGTGAGGAAGGGACAAACTCCGGGTCATCTGCATTCCGAAGCCGCACAGGGATCTAGGTCCCCTTGTCTTCTTGAGCAGCCCTCATGCGGGGCTCTTTTTTCTTGCGGCTTCTGCCGCAACTGTCTCTACTGCTGCTGCTGTCGTTGAGGCGTGTCTGGACACAGGAGCACGCTGGAACCTTCCCTTCCAGATCCCCGGTGGTCCCCGAGTGCCCCGAGGCATGTTCATGTTCACTTGGTGGCAAGGTCAATTGCTCCGCACTTGAGCTGCCCACGGTACCAGCGGGCCTGAGCTGGAGAGTAAGCTCACTGCTTCTGGATCACAATCGCGTAAGCGCGCTGCCTCCAGGTGCCTTCGTTGGGGCGGACGCGCTGCTATACCTAGACCTGCGGGAGAACCGGCTCCGGTCAGTACACGCTCGAGCTTTCTGGGGTCTGGGCGTGTTGCAATTTCTAGACCTGAGCGCCAACCAGTTGGAAACTCTGTCTCCTGGCACCTTCGTGCCGCTCCGCGCGTTGCGTTTTCTTTCCCTAGCGGGTAACCGGTTGGCATTCCTGGAGCCTTCGATCCTGGGCGCGCTCCCATTACTGCGCGTGCTCAGCCTGCAGGACAATTCACTGTCTGCGCTCGAGGCGGGTTTGCTGAATAGCCTGCCCACGCTCGACGTGTTGCGCTTGCGTGGCAACCCCTGGGCATGCAGCTGCGCGCTGCGTCCGCTTTGCACCTGGCTGCGCAAGCACCCGCGTCCCGCTTCAGGTGAGCCATCTGGGGCGCAGGACAGATAATGTTTGGTGCAATTGCTGCCATCTGATGCCGCTCCTGTGTCCCGCAGAAACTGAGACCCTGTTCTGCGTGTCTCCAAGACGCCAGACGCTCAGCCTACTGACAGCCTTTCCGGACACGGCCTTCAGACACTGCGCTCAGACACTCGCAGCGCGAGACCTGGCGGTGGTATATGCTCTCGGGCCGGTCTCTTTCCTCGCCAGTCTGGCCATCTGCCTGGCATTGGGCTCCGTGCTCACTGCCTGTGGTGCACGGCGGCGCCGCGGCCGCACCACAGTACGCCCCTTACTAAGGAGACCGCTGGATCCCGAGGGTCCAACCTCCCAGGAGGATGCTGGGAGCCCTGCAGCGGCTGCAACCCAAGCCTAAGGAGGCTGCGGTTGTTTCTAGCCCTCCCCCAGTGCTCTGCACTTTGAAAACTGTCCCCAAATTCTTGGCCTCCCTTCAAACTCCCTGTAGGCGTCAACAATAGACAAAAAAACCGGAAAATTTCTGACATTCCTTTAGGCATCACCACTGAATACCGGGGTTGGAGTAGCTGTGCGCGCCCGGTGTCCCTGGGGCAGAGGAGTAGCACGCTACTGCGCACCAGCGACACGGGGAAGGCACGCGCTTGGACACTGGGAGAGCAGGTCATGTACAAGGTGGTGGGTGAATGACACCCGAATGGGAGGCGGATGGCGCTCCCTGGTGCCCAAGGTGCGGGGCTCGTTGCGAGCCAGCGTCTGAGGAAGCCTATTGTGGCTGCAAGCAGAAGAGAAGGCTCAGCCCTCTCGGAGTCTGGAGCCCTGGACAACTGGGAGCCAGAGAGCACCCCTGGGAAGCGCTGCCAGCAGGGCAGTGAGGGCTGGCACTGGGAAATGTCAGGGCCAGCCCTGCGAATGGGGTGGGGAAGGGTCGTGGGAGGGTGGTGCAGCAGGAGAGAGAGCCTTCCAACCCGAGGAGGAAGTCAGGTTGCAGAGAGCAGGCGCTGGAGGAGGGGTGGGTGGGTGACCTAGCCAGCTGGGGCCATGGGCCCCCACTGTAGCTTAGGGTGGTGGCTGGAGGAAGGATGGGGCTGCCATTTCTGCTCCACACCCCTCCGGCCGGGGCCACTTAGGCCCCTCACCCCACTGCTCAGAGACCCCAGGGCCCTGCCTCTGCCGGAGCGCCCTGTGGCCCTGCCCAGCCGGCTCAGCTCTGGCCCATCCTCAGCCGCTCTGGTCCGCACCTTGGTCCTGCAGGGGCTGCCTGCCAGGCAGCAGGGCAGGCGGACGGGAGGCCCAGGGTGGGCAGTCTCTGGGGCGGGTGGGCTTCCCTCAGGCCTTCCCGAGCAGCAGGACTCATCAGTGTCCTTGGCCGGGCTAACTGGGCAGGTGGGCGCCTCCGGGGGCCTCACACCACGGTGCTGACCGAGGGATCTGAGAGGTTGAGCGGGCCCGTGATATCAGTGGGATGGTACTGCTGTAAAATAGAAATACACAGACAAGGCGGCCCGTTAGCTCCGACGTCGGGGGCACGCGCGGGGCCGGGACAGGGTGGACCGGCCAGCCGGCCGACCGGCGGGCAGGCGGGCACGGCCTGGGGGAGGCTGGGGGTGCTCCTCCCCCGACCCCGTCGTGCTCCGGGGTTCTGCGTGGGCCAGGCCGCTGTCCCGTGCGTCTGTCTGTCTGTCTGCGGGGGAGGGGCAGAGGAGGGCGGGCGGGGCGTCTCAGCTCTCCCTATGACGGGAACACAGCTGCAGCTGGCCCTCCTCCCTCTCAATAGCGCGTCGCGGCAGCACTGTGTCTTTTTGGTTTTGCAAAGCGCCGCGTCCACCCCCGGTGCTCTATAAATAAGAACCAACAATCAATACCTGCTGGCCCTGCCGGCCACCAGGGATCCCAGCCCTGAGCGCCCAGTGCTGCCCTGGCCCGGACCGGCCACAGGACAGGGGCAAAGGATCTCAGCAGCTGGACCGACCCCACCCCACCCAAAGGAGCCCCCACCCAAGCCTCCCTCTGAACAGCACCCAGCCCCAGAGACAGGGTGCGAGCTGGGTTGCCCTCCCCCACCCAGCCCACAGTGGCAATGCCCAGAGGTCAACCCTGCAGGGTGGGGCCAGCTTCAGATGGCCCGGAAGAACGGGTCCCTGGTGCCCAGGGAGGCTCAGGTAAAGACTGAACTGAGAACAAGTGCCCAGAAAGGAACCGTGTAGATTTCTGAGCTTTACCTGGCCAGTTCCAGATGGGGCCCCAAGACTGAATGACACCCTCTGAAAATGGCCTGCCGCCTGCAGGAATTTTGTACTCTTCCCACTTTGGCCACTTGGCCCCAAAAGTACAGATAATCCTCTCTGTCGGATTTTCCCTTTCCCACACAAGTTTCCACCCACAGCGCCCTCAGCCCTGCTCTCCCTCCCCAGCAGCCCCTTGTGGGGATCCTGGCTCAATCTTGTAGCATAGGCCGTGCCCACTTTCCCTGGTCTGGGAGACCCTGGAGACTGTCTTTGCACCAGCTCCTGGAGCCTCACGGTGGTGCAGCCCACAGACCCTTCGGCTTCACCCACTCTTTCTGTACCAGGGCCCTCAGAGAACTGAGCAGCCAGGCCTCATAGGTCTCTCTGGAGCACTCGAGTAGTCTGAGCCTGGCACTTCCATTGCTCTGCACCAAATCCTGTCTGTGTGCCTTTCTTCCTGAGCATAGGGCTCTACCACAAACCCAGATTCCTCATGGGACACAAGCCCCTTGTGGGTGACACTGGCTAGAGGGGCTGCTTCTTGGCTAGGACCAGGGTGACTAGCAAAATGGGGATCCTTTGGAGGAATTTCTTTTGAGTATGCATTTCTGGTTTGGTGGTGTACTGCCCAAGGCAGGGGACAGGGTTTTGAAGGCAGACGGTATGGTTCTGACAATGGCCTCGTGGCAGTGCTTGGGGGTCTGAGCTGAAACACTGGTCTTAGTCTCCCCTTCCTGGGCCTCCCTCTGAGTGTTGCCCTGTGTGCTCAGGCCAGGGTTTTCAGGGACACCCTGTCTATGCTCAGATCACCTGGGCACTGCTGCCACACCTCCATCAGGGACCTGTTCAACTTGGCCCCACCCCACTGCCCACCTGACGGTCTCCCTGTGACCGAGGGTCAATGCCAATGCAAGGCCCCAGCCGTCCACCCAGATGGACCCAGGCCCAGCCCCCAGCCCCCGGCCCACACAGAGACCACATGGAAGATGCAACACGCATGGCTCTGGTGAGACAGGTGAGACAGGTGTCTGGGGGGCGGGGCCAGCGGCCAGACAGACGGACGGGATGGGACATCACAGCTACACCCTCCAGAGCTGTTGCAGAGCAAGAACGAGGTGTCAAGCCCCTTGTGGAGGCAAGAGAAACAGGGATGAAACAGACGTGGCGTGGTATCCTGGCAGGGACGACCTGGGACAGGGCTACTCTAGTTCCCAGGGTCTGGGTAGCCCAGAGAGATGGTGAGGCTGACTGACCAACAACATGACACGGCTTCCAGATGGTGTGTGGGTCATGGCGTGGGGAGGGAGGTGGGCAGACTAACGTGGAGACACATGGGGAAGCTGAGGACCAGTGAGGGCTTGAGGAGAGTTCCGGAGAGTTCTAAAGGACGGCACCCTTGTATGGGTGGAGGGTGGGTAAAGGACCGATTCGAGGCATCGGCAAGGATGGCCAGGGTTGGAGGCGGGGACAGGGGTGGGATGGTGAGGGTGAGGGAGACAGACATGGGGCAAGGGAGGAGTCAGAGACGCGGGACTGGGGTGCTTCCCCCTTACCGTGTCTTTGGAGGACCTACGTCTCTTGAAGCTGGAGGCCAGGGTGGAGGTGATAGCCCTAAATGTGGCTTTCTTTTTAGGGTCGGGCTCTGCTCTACCACTCTTTCTATCCTAAAATGAATATGTATAAGTGATTAGACGGCTAAGGGTGGCGGCCACACCTGCCCTTGCCTGCTCCTTGGGGGCAGCTGCCAGGCCCGGCCGGCCACTCAGGCCCTGAATCCTGCCTGCCTCACTGTGCTGGACAGACCGACCAACAGCCAGACTTTTGAGAGTGGCCTCTTCTGCCCGGGGTTGGGCCTGTCCTTGCTTGGGCTGGGGCTGGGCTTGGAGTCCTGCTGGCACTTTTCCTAGAATGTTCGCCTGGCTCCCTGGCTCCTGGGTGGCCCTGGCTTAGAGGCATCCTGAGGAGGAGGAGCCCCTGAGGACAGGAAGAGCTTCCTCTCGGGGGCCACACCAGCCCCTTTGTTCAGAGGCTGCTGACCCCAAAAGGCACACACCAGGAAGGGGCCAAGGACCCAAGGAGGTGTCCAGTTGGAATTGGAGTGATAGACAGAGGCAGATCCGGGGGCACTGGCCTGGAGTCTGATGGCCAGCATGGCCCTGGACAGCTGTGGCCAGGTCCCCAGGGGACCTGTAGGGCCAAAAGCAAGAACGGGTGGATGAGAGATGTGGGGGCTCCAAGAGCCCTGTCCCCCCCCACAGCCCTCACTGTAATGTCAATGTCAGCTCAGGACACAGCTCCAGCAAGACACCCAGAGAAAGAGAAGAGACAAGTGAATAGGAACCTGGCCGTTGGCCGCTAGTCTTCAGGCTTGCGTGAACCTCACTGCCCACCCTGTCCCTTTCCCTGGTGGCTTCTGACCATCCCACATGCAGCCTCGTCCCTGCCAGCCACAAATCCACACGGATGTGGCCTGAGGCACCAGGTGAGGCAGAGCAGCCCCTTTTAGATTGGAGTCACAGAGCTGGACACGGAAAGAAAAGGGGTCTCCGGAAGGGGTGTCAAAGGAGCTGGGATGTAGCAGGCCATATGCATCTCAGATCACGTACTACACACAGGCGGGCCCTTGTCTTACCCTGCCTGATTGCCTTCCTATGGATTGGGTGCCAGTAGGTGACTCTGGAAACAGAGGGGCCAGGCAGAAGCTTGGAGTTCATGGCCTCCCTTGGCCCAGCTTGGCAGTGGGTGGCCACCTGCAGGCAGCTCCTGCCTGTGCTGCCCCTGTGTCTTGGGAACACTCACCACTGCCCCTGGCCATGGCTCTTAGCACCAGTCCTGCCCATGAGCCAGAGCCAGTGCCACGGCCTGTAGGGATAGAGTAGGGCCGTGGCCTGGCGGGGCCCTGGACGCCAGGCCTCGGAGGGTGGCCTGTCCTACCTGCAGGTTCTTCCTCCACACGTTCACTGCTGCAAAAGCCAGCTGCATCTGCTTCCTACGCGCATCCTTGTGTCTTTTGTAGGCGATCTCGATGAAGATCAGGAAGATCCCAGCCACGATGCCTCCAGCCACCAGCATAAAGACCCCTGTGTGAAGTATCCAGTGCCTCATCTGACTGCCCGGAGGCTGTAGCCCCCAGACAATCCCTCCCGGCATCAAGGCAGCACGGAGGGCCCACCTGCCATGTTCTCAAAAGTGAGAGTCGCAGGAGCATTGCTGCGGGAGTCACATTCCTGATACCGAACCCATGTCTTATCCAGATCTTCCATGAAGCCATTCTCATGGGACCTGAGTAGGGAAGGGGAGAGGGAAGGCAGGGCTGGAAGCAGGGGTGGGACTGGGAATGGGCAGGGCTCACAGGGGAGGCAGTACCATGGGACCAACTTTTCAGCCCAAGTAGGGCTTTGGTCTGTTTGTTTGCTTGTTTGTTTGTTTTGAGACAAGGTTTCTCTGTAGCTTTGGTGGCTGTCCTGGAACTAGCTCTTTGTTTGTTTGTTTGTTTGTTTGTTTGTTTGTTTGTTTGTTTTTCGAGATAGGGTTTCTCTGTGGTTTTGGAGCCTGTCCTGGAACTAGCTCTTGTAGACCAGGCTGGTCTCGAACTCACAGAGATCCGCCTGCCTCTGCCTCCCAAGTGCTGGGATTAAAGGCATGAGACACCACCACTCAGCTGCCAAGTGGGGCTTTGGGAGTTAGGAAGCTTGTAGCCTTTGCTGGGCTGGGAGTAGGAAGGTTCTCTTATGGGGCTGATGCCTGGTTTGGGTGGAGTTTCCTTTACGGCAGATGATGTCAGTGTCTGGTGAACAGGCGCTAGCCTGGGGTAGAGAGGTTTGGTGTTTTGCGACTGGGGCAGTAGAGACAAGGTCCAACCTTGTGGGGAGGCTCTTAAAGCCAAGAGAAGGGAAGAGAGGGCCCCAGCACAGGGCAGACTCACTTGAGTATGGACAGGGAAACATTCTGCTTCCAGGGGCTGTCCTTGCGCATGCCGATGCCGAAGCCTGAGCGGAAGAACAGCTCACCCGTAGTCACCAGGTCACATTTCTGTGACGCCTCGAACTCCAGCACCGCTGAGTCCCAGATGAAGGCATGGAGCTTGCTGCGGGCAGAGGTGGAGTCAAAGGAGCCCCGCGTAGCCTGGTCACCCCACCCTGCTCATACTTCAGTCCAGACACCCTCCACTGTGTTTCCTGAGTGAGCCTGTCCCCCTTGCTCGACCCTTTACCGTCCCACCCAGCCAAGGCGGCCTTTTGTGTGCTCGCTCACTTGTCCCGCACAGCCTGGATGGCCTCGGCTGCGCTCTCGTAGTTGTGTTTCTCCATGTGCCGATACATGGTACTCAGCTCCACCTGCCTCCGGAAGTAGATGTCCACGGAACTCTGCTTCACAGTCGCATAGATGAACTTGTCCGAGGGGTTTCTGAGCTGCAAGGACAGAGGCCTCAGCTCACGGCTGCCCCCTAGGCTCCACCAGGAGCAGACACTTCCTCTCAACCTCTTTTTCACACACACACACACACACACACACACACACACACACACACACACACACTGCCCTACAGCTCTGGGGCCTCACCCTGGGGTCATTGATGCCTGTGATACGCTCCTCAGGCCGATCCAGCACCAGGAAGGCTGCCAGGTTGGCAGTATAGGAAGCCACGATGATCATGGCAAAACCAGCCCACACCATGCCTAGGATCCGTGCAGAGAAGCTCCGGGGAGCACCTGTGGGCAGAGACTTAGGTCAGTTCCCCGGAAAGCAGGGGATGCAGCCAGGAAGGACCCTGGATTCGTCTCACCTTCCCCGATGCCAGAGTTAAGCAGGACACCCCAGGAGAACCACATGGCGGAGGACAGGGTCAGCGCATCTTCCTCTTCCTCCTCACTGTTCACCTTGAACCGGCCAAATGGACTGCAGAGTGCAAAGGGGAGGTGGGAGAGAGAGCGGGAGAGAGGACAGGAGAGGCAGCTCTGCCCAGCCCTGCCAGTTCTGCCCACCCTCTAGACTGAAGGGTCCAGCTCCCTCCACGGCGCTCACCTGAAGCGGTCCAGCAGATAGAGCATTACGGCCACCACGTGCACCGACAGCCCCACTAGCAACCACAGCGTGCTCTGGAAGGGCTGCATGAACGAGTCCAGCGTGCTCCGGGGAATCTCCTGCAGGTGAACAGGGAATCAGCATTGCCTGGGCCCTCCATGCCCCTACTCCATCCCCACTTGAGCCCTGCCTACCTTCTTGACCAGAATGGTCAGGCCCTGGTACTTGAAGGGCTTGGAGAACTCTATGTACTGAGCACGCTCATTGTTGATGGTCAGAGGTGCCACAATCATGTCTGCTTGACCACTGAGCAGCTCTCCCATCATCCCATTCCACTCCTTTTTGTTGCTGTTGTTTACCTGCGAAGCGACAGAGCCAGTGGGGCTGCAGACAGGGTGGGTATGGTTCTCCGAACGAACAAGCATTCCTAGATTTTAGTCCTAGCACACGGAGGTGGGGGGCACATCTCCTGTTCCGTATCTAGCTCATCTCTAAAGCCCAGCCCCAGCCCCTCCGAACAAGGCTCTACCCACCCCCAAAGACTTTCCAATGAATCCATCTCAGCTCACAGGATCCTCCCACTAGCCCCTTCCTCCAGGCTCCGCCCCTGCCATCCACTCCATACCCGCTCCTGTGTGCCAAACTTGCCATCTGCCACCAGGTGGACCTCGTAGGTAAAGTTCATGGTCCGTGCCAACTTGATGAGCAGGTCAATGCAGAAGCCATAGCAGCACTGAGGCACCGTGTGGCGTGCTGTGGGCAGTTAGAGAATAGTATCAGCGGGCTCCCGATTTCACTGCCCAGTACCCTGCCACACTCTGCCCGGCACTCACGGCTGCCTGGCGAGGTGTCATTGGGCCCTGTGCAGATCACCTTCTTGACTGGGTCACCGTTAACCGTGAATTCTTCCTTGCATGTCCCATCACTCAGTGTGGGTTTGACGTACACAAAGGGCTCTTGGTGGATTGTCACTATCTGGGAGAAAGACAAGAACCAGCCTGGGCCACCTGCCCTTGGTTGTCCCCAGGGCTGGCGGCTTCTGGGCACACAGCAACCCCTCGTCTCCATCTTCCGGTGCTCTGAGAAATACACACCCGGGCCCTGTCCCACTGGTTTTCAGAGGTCAGTCCACATCCTTCTGACGTGGTTAGCATCGGTTCTGCCCTCGGGGTATGGACACAGGTCTGGGGAGGTGCTGAAGTGGGGTACAGACTTCCCCAGCCATCGGCCCTGGCTCGTCAAAGTGCCTCCTGCAATGCTGTCCTCTTCTTGTAGCCCATTTCCTCCAATCCCAGTTCAGACATCACTCTGTCGCAGTATGACTGTGTAGTATTTACTGTGTGGACAGGGAACGATCTCTGACCAATCACAGAGGAGAAACTCTGCGTCCTTGCCAGAGCCACCCTGGCCTCCACTGGCAGGAAGCCTTCAGTCTTTGACCCTTGTCCTTTTATTTTTTATTTATTTGTTTATTTTGGTTTTTCGAGACAGGGTTTCTCTGTGGCTTTGGAGCCTGTCCAGGCTGGTCTCGAACTCATAGAGATCCACCTGCCTCTGCCTACCCAGTGCTAGGATTAAAGGTGTGCACCACCGCCACCCAGCTTTATTTTTTTACTTTTAAAATTTATTTTATTCAATGTACACTGGTGTGAGGATGCTGGATCCCCTGGAAGTGGACTTACAGACAGTTGTGAACTGCCATGTGGGTGCTGGGAATTGAACCCCGGGTCCTCCCCTGGATCACCACTCCAGCCCTACTCTTGTCTTTTTAAAAATTCCTTTCCAAGGGCTGGAGAGAAGGCTCAGCAGTTAAGCGCACTGACAGCTCTTACAGAGGTCCTGAGTTCAATTCCCAGCAACCACATGGTGGCTCACAATCATCTGTAATAAGATCTGGTGCCCTCTTCTGGCCTGCAGGCATACATGCAGACAGAATACTGAGAATATTGTAAAAAAAAATTCCTTTCCAAGGTATGTCTACATGTATGTTTGTGTTCCTGTGTGCTCATGCATGTGTGCAACTGCACACGGAAGCCAGAGGCCAATGTCAGGTGTCTTTCTCTGTAGCTGTCTATTTTTATTATGTAAGCATTTTTATTTTATTTTATGTGTGTGCCTGAGTATATGTATGTGTATCACATACATGTAAGAGCCCACCTACAGAAATCAGAAGGAGGCATCAGCAGCCCTGGAACTGGAGTCTCAGGTGGTTGTGAGCTGCCATATGGGTGCTGGGACTTGAACCCAGGTCCTCTGGAGGAGCAATGAGTGTTCTTAACCTCTAAGAGGCTATCTTTCTGGCCCCTATTTTATTTTAAAGATTTGTTTATTTGTATTTTATGTGTATGGGTGTTTTGCTGGCAGATATGTCCGTGCTCCAGGTGCATACAGTGCCCACGCAGGCCAGAAAGAACACTGGCTCCCCTGGAACTGCAGTTACAGTTGCTGTGAGCTGCAGTGTGGGTGCTGGGACTTGAACCCGGTCCTCTGGAAGAGCAATCAGTGCTCTTAACCACTTAGCCATCTCTCCAGCTCCGTTATTATTATTATTATTATTATTATGACATGATGAAGGTTATTCTTCAATAACCCTGGAGCACAGTAATTGGTTAGGCTGGTCACTCAGCAAGCTCTGGAGACTGTCTCTGCCCACTCACTATATCAACAACAACAACATGGTTAACAAGGAGTACAGTATGCAGCCACACCCAGACTTTTATATGGATGCAGAAATCCAAATTCATGCTGCTCATTGGGCTATTTGCCAATCCCCATTTTTTTTTTGAGAAAGGGTCTTACTACGTAGCTCAAGCTGATGTGGAATCCCTATGAAGACCATGGTGGCCTTGAACTCACAGAGATCCACCTGACCCTGACTTTTAATACTAGAATTAAAGGCATGTCCTACCAACTCCAGATTTTTTTAAAGACAGGGCTGCATACAGTCCAGATGGCCTCTTGCTATGTAGCTGAGGACAACCTTAACCCCAGATTCTCTTTCATCTACCTCCAGAGTGCTGGGTTTAAAGGCAAGCTCCACCACGCTTGGTTAATGCTCCTCTCCCAGGGCTGCCTCTTCAGCACACACTTTGGCTTTGGCCCTCTTCCCTCCCCTTCCCCTAGGAGCCACAGTCTGGAGGATGGGGACAGGCACAAGTCTGAGGTACTGGAACAGAACACAGCTGGCTGCTGAGGGCCTCGATGGGATGTGGAGAACAGAGGGGTAGGCAGACCAAGGACAGGATGGCAAAGCTGGCTGTGGTGACAGGCAGTGGAGGAGGAACACTCAGCTGGGAGTCTTGAGAAGGGGACAGGACCATATTCCTTTTTCTATACAAGAATAGGTGCTAGTGCTGCCAAAAACTTGACGAGGGGGTGTGACAAACGGCTCAGCAGTTAAGAGGACCTGCAGTTACAGATGACTCAATTCTGTTCTTACCACCCACAGAGCGGCTCACAACCATCCATTCCTATTACGGGGATTCTGCGTTTTCTTCTGCCCTGGGAGCACCAGACATACACATGGTGCACATGTATGCATATATACGACATACACATATATGTGCATATGTATACTATATACATATATGTGTATGTATATATAAACACTATATACACATATATGTATGTATGTATACTATATTCAGGAAAACACTTATACACATAAAATAAAATGTAACAAATCAGTGACTCCAGAAACATGGCTAATAGCCATCTGCACCTTGATGGGTCCCCTTGGTTAGTGATGTTTGTTATTTGTTTTGTTTTGTTTCTAATTTTCGAATTTTGTATAGCCTTGGCTGTCCTGGAACTATCTGCGTAGACCAAGCTGGCCTGAACTCACAGAGATCCACCTGCCTCTGCCTCCGGAGTGCTGGGATTAAGGACGTGTGCCACTCCCCAGTGCTTTCAGACTTGACAACATCAGGTGCCTGAGCTGCAAACAGATAGGACACTGGCTTTGTGAGTGACATGCTGACTCATCCCAGGAGGAATGGAGGCGGGCGCTCGCCAGGTGAGACCGCGGCCCCAGATATTTGATGGCACTGAGAGAAGGGTGGCTGGGCACATGGCACTTCAGATCCTGTCCTTGGAGCTCTATGGTATCAGAGCTGGGTGTGCTGTGTCTCAACATGAAGAGGAACTCAGAATAGTTCTTAGGCAGAGGGAATGGATGAACCCAGGGAATGTGTGAATCAGGCTGGGAAGAGGTTATGAAGGAGGAAGCCAGATCAAGAAGGGGGTTCCTGGGATCCCAGGGAGAAAGGGGACACCAAAGAGCATCAATTCTAAGCTGAACTCTGCCCTGCGGCCCAGAGTACCCACCCACTGTCTGCCCCCACTAATCAGTTCTTCCTCAGACTTAGCTGGAGCTGGGGCAGGATAAAGTGCTAGAGAGAGCCTGTTGGGCAGAAACTGCTGCTTCTCAGGCCGGGCGGTGGTGGCGGTGGCGCACGCCTTTAATCCTAGCACTTGACTTGGGAGGCAGAAGCAGGCAGATCTCTGTGAGTTCGTGGCCAGCCTGGTCTACAAGAGCTAGTTCCAGGACAGGCTCCAAAGCTACAGAGAAACCCTGTCAACCCTGTCTCGAGAAAAAAAAAAAAAGAAAGAAAAAAAGAAAAAGAAACCTCTGCTTCTCCTTCCCCCTGCCTAGACCCCTGCCTCCTCTGCCGCCGCTGCCACATGTGCCAGAACCAGCTGCTAGCAAACTCATCTCCACGCCCTTTATTTGTGTGCTGTGCCCACACCCCCTTTCCTCCTGGCCTGAAGGAGTAATGAAGTGTTGGCGATGGGAAGGTTGGAATATTTCAACGGGGTCCCCCACCTTTAATCTCGTGGACATCTGGTACCCTCGAGGCTTCTCTGTCTCTCCCCCGGGCCAGATGATCTTCCTGTCATTTGGGATGACCTGGGGGTGGGAGTATGAGATAGAGGGTGGCCACGCAGGGGTCTCGGCCCCAGGACCCTAAGGCCCCAGCCCCCACCCCCTCATGACCCCCACCTACATGGGTGCCGTTGTAGATGCCCACTTGCACCAGCTTTCGGTTCTGCAGGTTCATGATGCTATAGTTGGCAAACTTTCGGTCCCCATCCTCATTGAATTCCACACGGCCAGTCACTCCATCCGCGTACTTGGAAGACATCAGTACCCTGGGAAGAGAGCGGGGCTTCGACTTAACCACAGCAGCTGCTCTTCTTTCCTTCTGAGCAGCCCAAGCTCCCGCCCCTTCCACCCCGGTTTTAAGGTAGGAGAGATTAGCAGATGGTTGCTCCTCACACTGAGCAGACACCGTGGTGCGTGCCTCCCGGCACCAGATGGACAGCACAGCTCCAGCTCCTGAGTGGGTCTTGGATGCCGACCCCATGACAAGGGCTTCTCTGAATGAGGACTATGACTGTCAGAGCCACCATCCTGGTTTTACAGGGGAGGCAGAAGCCCAGAGAGCCTCAGGCCCACTCGCCATCAAATGGTGGAAATAGAATGAACCACCTCCTCATCTTAGCCACTGGGGGGCTTTCCTGGCTGTATGTTTGCTCACTGGACCATATCAGTGAGGTTGTGTGCATGCAACCCAAATGTAGGGGTCACCCCTGTGAGTGTGCTTGTGGCACACCATGTCATGTTCCTCTTTGGGTTCCTGTGTGCATTCATTGGTCTGTGTGCATGTATGTGCAGCCTGTGACCGCACGGATGGCATGGGAACATGTGGTGGCGCTGTGGACATTGGCTCTGGGGTTAAGTTCTGCAGCCATTCCCTTGGTCAACCTTAAATCTCTCATTGTCAATGGATGCCTGCTCTGAATTTCTGGGTCCGTAGAGGGTCCCAAGCCCCGCCTGCAGCAAGGGCTTTCTTCTAGGGCACCAGGCACTGTGGGAGTTAGGTAAAACCTGCAGTGTGGGGTGGAGAAGCGGAGGCAGTCACAGCTTCAGTGACAGCAGAGGTAAGGGCGCTTGTGGTGGGAAAAGGGATGGTTATTATGGTGAAGACAGGATGCGGTACTAGGAATGTGGACAGTCACCTCCATAGGGGACTAACCATAGCATGTCCTAGATAAGACCGCTGCAAGTCAGGCATGGCGGTACACTCAGGAGGCAGAGGCAGGTGGATCTATGTGAGACCGAGGCCAGCCTGTCTACAGAGCAAGTTCCAAGACAATAGGGATACACAGAGAAGCCCTGTCTTGAAAAACAAAACAAAAGTCTGGCTGGACCACTCCTGGAAGAGTGAACCATGGCTAAAGAACGCCCCTTCTGCCTGGGCAGTAGTGGCACAAAGCTTTAGTCCCAGAACTCGGGTGGCGGAGGCAGATGGATATCTCAGTTTCGAGGCCAGCCTGGTCTACAGAGTGAGATCCAGAACAATCAGGACTAGACAGAAAAATCCTGCCTCAAAAAACAAAATAAAACAAAACAAAAATCCAAAACCACCCTCCCCAAAAAGAAAGGAAAGAAGGAAGGAAGGGACAGAGGGAGGGAGGAAGGAAGAGAAGGGAAAGAAGGAAGGAGGGGAGGAAGGAAGGAAGGAAGGAAGGAAGGAAGGAAGGAAGGAAGGAAGGAAGGAAGGAAGGAAGGAAGGAAGGAAGGAAGAGAGAGAGAGAGAACCAAAAACCAAAACCCCAGCCCTTCCCACCTCCTAAGGGATGACTCCTCCCACCTACTGAGAGCAACCCCGCCCACCTCTTGAACAGTGGTCCTGTCTTCCAGATGTTGGTGTTGCCCACGCAACCCCGCGGCGGGTCGGTGATGTTCTCCTTCTCTAGCAGCTCGTGGACTGCCTGCGCTACCACGCCCACGGCGTCGCTGATATGGGCCGACTCGTTCTTGCCGTTAATGAGCTGCAGTCCGATGATGCCTGCGCGATTCCGTAGCTTAGAGACTGGACAGATCATCAGCCCCAAGCGACCCCACAGTCCAGCACTCACCGTCTGGGGCGTAACGCAGGGCGTTCCCCGAGATCTCGCGCTCCCCCACCAGCCACACGTACCCAGAGCCCGTCATGTTCAGCATCGCGGCTGCGCGGTACACGGTGGCAGCGTCGTCCTCGCTGTGGGGCAGACCCGGGTGACGAGCCAGGACTCCAGCTCTCCCTACTCCCGGCCACAGCCTCTCCCACTCACATGCTCCGGGGGGAGCGTGCCTGCGCCCACCACCCTTCCTGCTGTTAGGCCCAGAGGTCTGCATAGGCGGTGAGGCTGGACCCAGGGCCTTTTCAGTCTTCAGCTGCTAGCCCCCTCTGCCTTTAGGAGGCAGGAATAGGGTACAAGATGACTTTCTGAACTCGGATAAGACAGTGGTAAATGGCAGAGTAGGGTCTGTGCCTAGGCAGTCCACTCCAGAACCTGTGAAGCGGTGAACTCTTGGCAAGCCATGGGTCTGATGGACCTCCGTGCTCAAAGGTGTGGAATGACAAGGTGAGGGCTCTGGGCTGAGGAGATGCCAGTAGAATCCCATGCCCTAGTTGCTGAGCTGAGCATCCCGACCCCTCTCACAGTAGGTATGTTCCCTGACCTCCAAGGTCAGGGCCACCAGGACAAGCCTTGCCTTGTGGGGACATATGGTCCTTAGAGTTTGAGGTGTTCACATAGGTAATTCCTGTGGACAGTGAGACAGGGGTCCTAGTCCCCTGAGGCTGGGTCTCCCTGGTCATAGCAAAGACTCTGAGGTCTTCCAGGGCTCCAGTAGCCACTAAGGGTCCTCTCCTCAACCTGCATCTCTCAGACTGACAATCAAGGCCCAGCTATGACTGGCATTTTGCTTCGCCTGTGCATGTTTAGTAGGTGCAGTGAAGCCAAGTGGATTACCTGACATTTGGTTATTTTTCTTTTAAAAGTTTTTATTTTAAATTTATTTTATGCGTGTGAGTGTTACGTCCATGCATTTATGTGCACCAGACAAGTGCCTGGTGCTTGTGGCGGTCAGAAGATGGTGTCAGGTCCCCCGGAATTGGAGCTTTGAATGGTTGTGAGTCACTGGGGGTGCTCAGAACTGAACCTGGGTCCTCTGCAAGACCCAGATGAGGCCATCTCTCCAGTCCTTGTTGGGTTAGGTGTATACCAGCTGATCTATGCCCAAGATAAGCCACACTTCCTTAAAATCCTGCCTCCAACTTTTTCAATGATTTTAACCAAAAGAAAAGCTCTAAACGATGGTACTGTTGATGAATATAAGCAACATTAAAAACAACGAGGCAGTACCTCAGCAAGAATATATGTCAGAGCCAAAGTGGTGGCATATGCCTTTACTCCCGCCACGGGGAGGTAGAGGCAGGCAGATCTCCACAAGCACAAGGCCAGCCTGGTCTACATAGCAAGAACAATAGAACATAGAGAGACCCTGTCTCAAATCAAAACCCAAAAGAATATACGACCATGCTGCAGTGCACTGAACACGGAAGAGGTCACCCAGCGCCACACATGTCAAGGAGGGTGTCTGATGTCAGCTACACCCACCAAATCAGACAGAGAGCCCCATCTCCCCAACACATCACAGACCTACTGAGCAATGTCACTCGATGGGATTCCAACCAATGCAATGCTTGTGGACAAAAGGTCTGATCAACCCATCAAACCTCATCAGACCATTTTACGGGACATAGTGATGCCAACAAAGGCAGCAGGAGGAAAATAAAAATGAGGAGTTTGGGGAATGAATTTTGTGTACCCGACAGACAGTCGACCCGATTAAAAAGGTCAGTTTAACAAGGTCTGCAAAACTCTTAGCCTCTCTCGTGCAGAAGGAGCCGGAACGTGATGAGCGCTGGGTAGCTGCTCATCAGTGGCACCTCACTCACCAGTGTGCACAAGCTTGCGATTCCACAGGTTCTTTAGGGTTTAAAAACCAGTGTGAACTGTGGCTCGAACTCAGTGTGTGGGGGACAAGTGGTGAGGTATGAGCGGCATGAATATGGTGTGTGCCAGTGTGGGCGTGTTTGTATGTGAATGCTGTGTGCTCAGTGTGCCAATGGGTGGTGTTCACACAGCTCATATTCATGTTAGTACCTCTGCCTACCATGACCCTTCTGCTGCTGCCTTCTTTGCTAGAGCCGTGTCTGGCAAGTCTGTCTTTAACCCTTAGGTATTCAACATGGAGAGGCTTTCTCACCCTATGTCCAAAGACCCTTCAGTTGTCGTGGGTGGTCGTGGAATTACTGGCCTTGAAGAGGTGAGTGTTTGCTGCTGGGGCCTGGAGTGGTGGGATTCTATGAAGGGTGGTCCTCTGCCTTGTGCCCTGTTCATCTTCATTATAATGCATAAGCCAAGCAGGACTACTTGCTTGAAAGACCCTGATAGTCTAGTGGGTCTGTTTTAATAGAACAGCTTCCTTAAGTAGCCTTGACCTGAAGAAAGCCTTCTTGCCTGCCTGCTGTGTGTACTCATTTGCCCACCATCCTGAACAATGAACATTCTTTTATCCAACTTGAGCAAATCTCCCTCAAGTCCTACGATGAGAACTAGAAACAATCAGAAAATAGGAGGTGTGGTGGGCCTTTTCCTGAGCAGAGCTTTCTTTGGGTATCCTGGGCTGGGCTTGCCTTCCAAGGGATATATTTCCTTCCTGGCTCCTTTTTTGGGACATATTTTTTTCTCTCTCTCTCCCACTCCCTTTCTCCCTCTGATAGGGTCTCATGAGGCTGAAACAGGCTTTGAACTTGCCAAGTAGCTGAGAATGATCTTGAACTTTGATCCTCCTGCCTCCCGAGTGCCGGAATTACAGGTGTGCACCGCCACACCTGTCTTTATTCAGTGCTGAAGATTGGGGCTAGGACATCATGGTTCATGCTAGCTAAGTGCTCTATCAACTGATAGGGATGCCCCATATGGATGTATTCTTAATCCATTCCTTTTTTCTTTCTTTCTTTCCTTTTCTTTTTTGTTTTGTTTTTCAAGACAGGGTTTCTCTGTAGCTTTGAAGCCTGTTCTGGAGCTAGCTCTTGTACACCATGCTGGCCTCAAACTCACTGAGATCTGTCTGCCTCTGCCTTCCAAGTGCTGGGATTAAAGGTGTGTGCCACCACCACCCAGCCCCCCCTCTCTTTCTTTTAGTTGCTATTTTGTTTTTTGAGACAGGGCTTCTCTATAGCTTTGGAGGTTGTCCTGGAACTCGCTCTGTAGATCAGCCTGCCCTCAAACTCACAGAGATCCACCTGCCTCTGCCTCCCGAGTGCTGGGGTTTAAGGCGTGCACCACCAAGGCCCTGCTCTTTTATTCATTCTTTAGAAGCCCTGTACCATCCCTCACCCCAAAGTA